TATTGGGTGAAGTAGGCTTGAATCCACGGTAGGAGGTAAAGCATAAGCTTAATTATGGGTTGGGGAATATCTGTTGAAGGCTGGTGCGCAGTTAGGGGTTGGGAGGGGCTTGAGACATGAAGTCATTCGGATGGCAGAGGGTGTGGAGAGCTGTATGATGCAGAAAGTGGCGGTAGTTGTGGGAGGATGGGTCGCGTCCGAAAACGGTCTACAGTTGGGACTGAAGGTTGGTGAGCATGAAGTTGGAGTCCCATAAGGGCCTGAGCTGGCCATCGGCGTATGCAGGTGTAAGGTTTCACCAAGCTCGCGGTACGTGAGGTTTGATGCACTTGTCATGTAATTGTATGGAGGCCGAAGAAAAGTCCAGTTATCTTGATAAGAGCAACGGATAGATTCTCGAGGGCTTGGTTGAGGGTGTCTTGCATATCGTGGCCTTGCCAATGAATATTTGAGTCCGAGGACTTATTTTGGCAGTGCTGTAACGTGGAGAGACAGCAGATCAGAGGGTCTGACGAGAACGAGTACTGTCAGCGCCTGGTGTAGTCACTGTCTCGCTGGGAGACAGTCTTTCAGCACCAGGAGAAATTTCTACTAGGCTGATGGAGGCATCTGAAGTTTTCACGAATGGTGAAGCAGAAAGTCCATCTGCAGAAGCGATGGAGGGCTCAGGATCTTGTAAGCCTATGAAGCAAGAAGCTTCTGGATAGTCTGGTGTCAGTGTGGTGTTTGTAGCAATCACAGAGCCATGTACCGTGGAAGTGTCAACGTACGTCCTGGTAGTTGGTGGTGCAACAGATTCAAGTACGACAGCATGTAGAGTTTCAGGTTTTCGCAGATGTAGCTGAAAGTGCCTTAACAATAAATGCTTCAGCCTGAAGGCGTATTTTGGTGGAGGTGGAACACGGAGAGACAACAGGTCAGGGGGCTGTGACGAGAGCGAGTGCTATTAACAACTAATGTGGTCATTGCTCTGATTTTGAGACGTACCGCATCAGTCGTTTCAACACCAGGAGAGAGACCAACTGGGTGGATGGGTGCGTTTGCAGTTTTCACGGATGCTAAAGCCGAAAATTCATTTGTAGGGGCCATGGAGAACTCATGGTTTTGTAAGGCTACGAAGCTAGGGGCTGCTGAATAGTTTGGTGGGTGTTCAGTGCTGGGAGTAATGACGGAGCAATGAGGGCTTAAGGGTACCTTGGGAGCTTCAACGCAAGTACTGGCGATTGATGGGGCAACCGTTTCGGGTAACTTTTCGTAAGCTGTCTGCACTCGAGTGCGGGCAGCATTGGTTTTTATAGTTTGGAGTTTTTCGGTGGAGGAGAGAAGAGCCTGGTACGTTAACAGACGCGCGGCATCCTTTTCATCCTGGAATTGCATTAGCATGGGGCAACACATAGGTGGTTTCAGATTCCGGAGCAGCGATCTGTGCGCATGGTGTTCGGCATGCTACACGCAGTCAAGATGGCAGTTTTGATATGCTCAACCGAAATTTTACTTCCGGCGCGTTGAATATTAGTACCTGCTACCGGCATTCGATACGTTGACAAATCTGTGACGCAATCGTGTCAATTAGAATAGTCGCTTTACCTAGGTTGATGGGATCGCATGTTCCATCAGGATTAGGAGACGTGCAATCGACTGCATGGTCCGCAGGGAGGAAATTTCATTTTCCACCCTGTGTAGACGTGTTCTGAGATTTTCTGGGTCTTTCAGGATTTGAGATTCTGTTGGCAGCTATGAGAATAGTGTCGCCAGGTTGAAGAGGCAAAGATGACAGATGGAACTACAGAACAATCTGAGTTTGCCTGTGGTACAGTTTTTGCCGGCCTCGAAAGGT